GCGGAGGGGAGCCCGGGCGGCGGGCGCGGGGCGCTCCGGGGGCGGGGCCTCAGCAGGGCGAGGTGGAGATGTGCAGGTGGTCGGGGTACTTGATGGCGGGAGGGTAGTTCTGTGTCATCTGGATGGACACGTCGCTGGAGATGTCGGAGGGGCTGCGGCCGCGGCGCCAGGCCTCGGGCTGCAGGAACTGGCCCGAGTAGTCGGAGCAGTCGCTGAGGCGCGGGCGGTAGAAGGCGGGGTGCGGGCGGTACATCTCCTCCTCCGCGTAGCGCTTGGTGAACAGGTACACGGACATCACGCCGGCGCCCTGTGCGAGCAGGGGCAGTCCTGGAGGCCGCTTCTCCGCCAGGAGACCCCAGACCCAGGGTCCCGGCCCCCAGTCCTCCTCCTCGGACCAGGAGTCGTGATCCCCCAGCTCCGTCCTCCCCCGGACCCAGGAGTCCTGACCCCCCAGCTCCGTCCTCCCCCGGACCCAGGAGTCCTGACCCCAACCCTCCTCCCCCGGACCCAGGAGTCCTGCCCCTGAGACCCTCCCGACTGGACCCTGGCGTCTGGGCCCCGGACATCACCTCTTTGAGGAGGAAGGAGGAGGCTGCGAAGGCAAAGGACCACCCGTAGCGATAGTGGAAATACTGCTCGGAGCTGCTGGGTCTGTTCATGACCTCGTCGTTGATGCTGGAGATGTAGAGGACCAGGCCCACGACCAAGGAGAGGCCTGCGGGCAGGGGGCGGCCGTGAGGACCGGGCCCCTCGGCAGCCCCAGCCCCGAGTCCCCACTCACTGCCCTCCCCACCTCCCTGCTCTGTCCCGGACCAACTTCCGGCTTTTGAAGCCCTTTGTGTGCTGGGCCCTGGCTGCATGCAGGGAACCCAGAGACCAACCAACAACCTCCCTGGCACCACCCCAACCCTGCCCTGCAGGGACTCAGTGCAGCTGGCAAGGTCAAAGGACACAGACGGAGAACCCCAACCACGCGCATGTGCCGTGAGGGGAGGTGCTTGGAGGAGTCCAGGAGAGACGCCCAACCCACGGGAGACAGGGAGTCAAGCAAAGCTTCCTGGGCTAAGAAGGGCCCCTGTCCTGCAGGATGAGGCCCTGAGAAAATGTGTGTGCCAGAGAGTCAATTCTAACTCCTAAGGCACTTGACTGCTAACCAGAAGGCTGGCGGTTAAAACCCACCAGCAACTTCTCGGAAGGAAGTTTGGGCAATCTATTTCTGTAGTGATACCGCTTCCAAGACCCAAGGAGGGGTCGCTATGGTCGGGCCGACTCGACGGCAAATAACAACAACAAGGATCCCATGTACAGAGTAGAGACCCCCATATGGTTTCCAAGACTGTAATTTTCATACAAGGAGCTTGTATAAAGCTTGTATAAGCTTGACGCAGTGGTTAAGGCATTCGGCTGGTAACCAAAAGGTCAGTGGTTTGAACCCACCAGCAGCTCCTCTGGAGAAACATGAGGCGGTGGCTTCTGTGAAGACTGACAGCCTTGGAGACCCTGTGGGCAGTTCCACTCTGTCCTCTAGGGGCGCTGTGGGTCAGAATGGACTCCAGGGCAGTGGGTGTGGTTTGGGCTTTGCTTCTGTGAAGACTGACAGCCTTGGAGACCCTGTGGGCAGTTCCACTCTGTCCTCTAGGGGCGCTGTGGGTCAGAATGGACTCCAGGCAGTGGGTGTGGTTTGGTGAGCCTTTGCACAGCAGGAGAGCATCAAATCTTTCTCCTTTGGAACTGCTAAGTGGTGTGCACAGCCCTGGGTTCAAACAGCTAACCTTGCAGTTGGCAGCTGAGTGCTTCATCACTGCACCACCAGCACTCCTAGGAAGACGAGGAGTGCACTGTGGGACATCACTCCAAAGAACTCCACCCCTGCAGCACCCAAACCAGCAAAAACAAACAACAACAACAACAAAAATAAGAACAACTCACTGCCCGTGGAGTTGTTTCCAACTCACAGCGACCCCTCCTTGGGTTTCTGAGGCGGTATCTGTACAGAAGTAGATTGCCCAACCTTCCTTCCAAGGAGCGGATGGTGGGTTTGAACTGCCAGCCTTCTGGTTAGCAGTCAAGTGCCTTAGGCACTATGCTACCAGAGCTCCTACCTTCACAGAAGCAAAGCCCAAACCAAACCCACTGCCTGG